ATGTGAGATGTAGATGCTTGGCCCTGGGGCCCCAACAGTGTGGCAGCATGAGCCTCTGTGCAGATTGAACTGTACTGTGAACCTGGTACCCAGAGACACTTTCTCTATATTCTGGGCATGCATGTTGGAGTGCTCCTCCCAGGGTGCTGCTCAGAGCCCCATAGGGAGATGTGTAGTCCATCTGGAAGGCTTGGTAGTTACTCGAAGGCCTATACCATTTTTTACTGCAGCTTACATATGGTTCTCCCATGTTAATCCCTGCAGGGAAAAATAGACAATGGCAGGCTGACTTCTATAGGCATTGAAAACCCTGAGTCTCTCTCTAGGACATCGGCCTAGACAAGGAACTTAAAACAAAAGCCTCAAAAGCCTAGGCCACAAAAACAAAAATAGACAAATGGGATTTAATTAAACTAAAAAGCTTCTACACAGCAAAAGAAATAATCGACAAAGTGAAGAACACCCTGCTAAATGGGAGAAAATACTTGCAAACTATTATCTGACAGGAGACTAATATTCAGAATATACAAAGTCAAATAACGGGGGAATAAAAACAAATAATTCCATTCAAAAGTTGACAAAACATATAAATAGACATTTCCCAAGAGGACATAAAAATGACCAACAGATATATGAAAAAATGGCTGCCATTACTAATCACCAGAGAAATGAAAACCAAAACCACAATGACATATCATCTTATACCAGTCAGAATGGCTATTACCACAAAGGCAAAATACACAGATGTTGCTGCGGATATGGAGAAAAGGGAACTCTTACACACTGCTGGTGAGAATGTAAACTAATACAGCCACTAAGGAAAACAATATGTAGATTTCCCGAAAAACTAAAACTGGAAGTAACATGTAATCCAGCAATTCCTCTACTGGGTATCTACCCAAAGGAAAATCAGTATATCAAAGGGGCACCTGCACTGGCATGTTTATCACAGCACTGTGTACACTAACAAAGAATCCACCTAAATGTCCATTAATGGATGAAAGGGTAAAGAAAATGTGGTACATATACACACTGGAATATCATTCAGCCATGAAAAAGAATGAAATCATGTCATTTGCAGCAGCATGGGGATGGAATTGGAGGTCATTATGCTAAGGGAAATACATCAGGAACAGCAAGACAAATATGTTCTCACTCATATGTGGGAGCTAAAATATTTTATCACATGGAGGTAGACAGAAAGATAACAGAGACTCAGAAGTGGGGAGACAGTGAGGGCAGATGAAAAGAAGTGGATTAAAGAATACAAACAGAAGAAATAACTTCAATGACTGTACTTAACAAAAATGTATTGTACTCGAGTGATGGACACCCTGAATACTCTGACTTCGTCAGTATACATTTATTATATATGTAACAAAATTTCGTGTACCCCATAGATTTATACAAACACCACCAGGAAGAACCCTGAGTTTCTTGGAGCCAGTGAACTGCCAGTGTGTCTGTGTAGCAATGTTGACTCTTTAGAGAAGGGAGGCTCCTAGAACGTAGATGCCTGAAGTAAGCGTGCACAGTCTGATTCCATCTATATAAGTGACAGTACAAGGGAGAAATTTTTGACACTCCAGGAATTCATTCATTACAAATTTAAATAGCCACATAAATGAGTAGGTACAAGTGACTTCCAACTCCTTCACCCAAAGGAGCAGAGATATTCTAGGTATTAGAGCTGGAAGAAAACCTAGACAGTTTCTTAAATCAATAGAACCCTTTTCAAATTCGTACACCAAAATCCAATATTCAAAAGAAAGTCTTGGTAGAGGCAGAGGCAGAACACACAGGGCCCCTGCTGTTGTGGCCTTTCCCTCCACTTCAGCCACCCCTCTAGGTTCTCGTGAAACCTTGTGGCTTTGGGGGAACCCACTAACAATTGCATTTTACCCCAACTTCTCACCTGAGCAGAAGTGCCTAGCACTTCTACATCCAAGCTATCTTTTGAGGCGTCTACGGCTTTAGCTTAGCCCTAAGAATTAAAAGAACCTCAAGTGTAGATGATTTCAAGCTCAACTTGTTCCCTTTATGAAAGTATAATACTGAATTTGAGACTTAACTTTCATGGATGGAAATAGACTGTAGGTCCACAACCCTGTAATCCCCAAAGCCCTGGAAATCAAAAGCTTCTTAACTCATTTGCTGCATTCGATTCTCCTAGAGCTCTGCACAGCAGCAGTCCCAGCTGAGCACCAGAGGTGGAAAGGTAGAACCTTCTTAAAAACTCGAACAGAAAACTTAACAGTGTACCAGTCAGGTGGCTAAGGGCTCGGCATTTGATTTAGTGTCTGAGCTCTCCCTCTCTGTGGGAAGCAGAGAATTAAACAGAATTGGGAAGCCCTTTCTGCCCAGTAGCAATCCCTCAAAACAAAGTGCTTAGGAAACTAGGAAACGAAGAGGCATAGCCATAAAGCTTAAGGTCTTTATTTGCCTCTCCTTAAAGAGTCCTTTATAAAGCCAGCTTGTCTTCCCACCCCCACCCCAATGTTGTTCTTTTAAACAAACAGGGACATTTTAGTAGCACACTGTACTCCTAATGCCTGTTGCTACCATTTCCTATGGGCAGGAGCGGGGGAGAGAGTGAGAGAGAGAGAGAGTGTGTGTGTTGTGTGTGTGTGTGTGAGAGAGAAAGAGAGATGTTAAAACACAGCTTTATGATGATCAGGCAGAAGCTGGAGTAAAGTGGAAATATCTGAGTTGAGAAAAGCTAGAAATTAAACTCCTTTTTGGCTTTGGATATTTTCTTAGCAGAAAATGCTGATGCCTATCCTGAGTCTGCTCATTATAGACTCTTGGAGCAGAGCTGCTGGGATTTTAATAGAATTTATTACTGTTGATAGCTTGTATATTACAACTAAATTCAGAGACCTTAAGGCAACAGTAGACTAAATATCACCCTTGGAATACTGTATGCCCATATTTAATCTAAGGCCACTCTAAGTGCCTATGAAATCTGTAGCTTCAAACTCATTTTTAAGGAGGTTGTCTTCCAGGTACCTTAACCATGGGGTGAGAAACTATCATTTGACGTTGACTTTTAAGTTCCTATTCAAGTCTGATTACGGGGTTCCCATTTTAACTATGCAGATATCAATGTCAACGTTTCTGTCTCATTTGGACTTAATACCTTTGGTAGCTAAAACCTTTGGAAAAAAAAAAATCAGAGGCTTTCAGCCTTCACTGTATCCTAATTGCAACCTTGCTAATCTTTCCAAGTATACTTATACCTATGTTTTCAGACTACAAATCATTTTTTCTCTAATTACTCAAGGTAGATTCTTACCACTTTCACAGTTCCCAAAGGTAGTAAGGTTATATAGAACTACAGGACATGTGCCCTCAGCACTGAGAATATTGCAAACATATTAAGAATTCAGTGGCAATGAGGGGAGAGAGGAGAGGTACCAGGTACCTCGTATTTGGTTTAACAGAATAAAAAGGAACAGGTGATGCTTCCTGACAACAATCTCTACCCTCCTCTTGTTCCTTGCTAAATCCCTAGTGTATTACCACCAATAAAACATGTGAGGAATGAAAAAATGCTATGAAATGAAGGTAGGGAACCATTCTGCTTTGTAGCTGGGTCCTAGGTTAATCAGACTCATGGGAGCAGAGTGATGCATCTAGTTTTGAAAGCAATATATTTAATATCCAAGGAAGTAACCACACCCATATGGACATCTTGATTTGGACCAAATTTTAATCTCCCTGGGAAGTGCCACAAAGCACAGAATGCTCCCAGACAGCAGGGAGTAGCTGACACTAGGAAGACCAACTAGGGTATTGTGCACATAACACAAGAGTTCCAGTCTGTGCTTGTCTCTGTAATATCAGTTCTTATGCCAGCATGCCACAGCTGCAAATGCTGAAAGGTGGCAGGAAATAGGAAGGCTTTCTGCTTGGAAACCCTCCCTAAGTAATCTGCGTGAACTATATGATTCCACTGTTTTTCTCAAATATTTGCAGTATATTTGCTTTAAGCGGCCACATCTGTGCCTTTTATTGCAAAGCAATCACATCCGCCAGAAGGACGGAACTGCTAATGATAGGAAGCACCTGAACCTTAGCTGGCCTGTGCCGGGCAAAAAACCAACACTCCTACTTACAAGTCTTAGTTCACACCATTGTGTGAATTAAATATCCATACATTAAGCATACGAAAACTGAGATTCAGAGAAATAGAATCTATGTATCTTCAGCTCTACCTCACTTTCCTTTTCTCTTGTCTCTAAATTACAAATGATCTTCCTTTGCCTCTTAACTATACTTTCTTTTTGCTTTTCTCTTGGAGCTGTTTTGTAAACCTGTGTTTTTCCAATTAGACCTACATTTCTAAGAGGAGGAATTATGCATTAAACTCTACCTCTAACCTCTTCTTGCTTCTCCTTCTTCACTGTGCTTGTAATAGAAACATCATTAATGGATAAGAGTAGGGATATGGACAAGAAATGCCATTAAAAGATTAGGACTTGGTGGATTATAGCCACACATGTAGTTTCAAAAAATGAGAGAATGAGTTTAGAGGCAGAGATGATGCCCCATGTGGTCTCTGGGCAATCTGGGTTCCTTCTGTATTGGTCTGGCTCCATTTGCGCGAGATCACTATTCCATCCACCATGTTCAATTTTCAGGTACCAGAAAGAAATAGAAAAAAAATGGATCCTCTCTCATTTTAAGGACATTTCCTAAAGTCATATATACCATTTCAGTTTACATTCCATTAGTCAGAACGTCGTTTCTTGCCCACACCTCACTGAGAAAAAGGCTGGGAAATCCAGTGTTTAGTTTTAGCATGTACCCAGCTAAGAACTCAATTACTGTCAGTCACTGCCTGAAGATCCATCCTACTCTGGCCCTTAGGATGTTACAGCCTGCCGAGTCTGCAGTATCCTTCTGAGAAGGTCCCCATCCATGGGTATTAGGTATCTCAGATCTATAACCTACCACCCTCTATTCTTGCTTTGCTGAGTGTTCCCTTCTTATTCTAGGGAGAAAAGCCAAGTGTGAACCCTCCCAATTCCAGTGCACAAATGGTCGCTGTATTACCCTGTTGTGGAAATGTGATGGAGACGAAGACTGTGTTGATGGCAGTGATGAAAAGAACTGTGGTGAGTAAAGAGTTTGATGACCTACACATTCTGTTAAAATATGATGTCTCAATCTGCAAATGTATTGAGATTCCGAAAATAAAATCCCCTTCTAACAATTTCTTTGAAAGAGTCCAAAGAATCTATACTTCTCTAAAGGAATAAAATTGAATATTTGACATGAGGTTATCAACTGGAGTATGGAATGATAAGATGCTGTTCCATTTAAATGACAGGACCTAGTTTATCTGAGATCAGGCAAACAAGTGGAATAGGAAGCTGGGAGAAGGGAGAAGTGGATCAGAAATAGAGACAGACAGAAGATTGCTTAGAAGGGACCTTTTTTCCCTTTTAATTTTCAGATGGCTCTGATCCTAGAAAAGAAAGCAAGCCACGGACATGAGAAAATCCCATAATGTTTCAGGGGGTTAATTAACCCCTGACACAGAAACTACAAGCCAGCACAGATCAAAGATCAGATAAGGCTTCTCTTTTAATTCTCTGCCTACAATAGTCGCTAATTCTAAAGCATTAGCAGGGCGGAAGACATCCTCTCCGCAAGAGAATGGGGATACAGTGTCACATCCATCAATCAGCATCTATCAAAAGATTATTGTGAGAAATGCCTATGTATGCAATTTATATAACCTCATGTCAAGCCAGAACAGCTGAGAACTGAATGGCAAGATCACATTTAGAAACCATGAATACATGCTGAAGTTTGCTCTAGGATCCCTTTGTTCAATGTTGTAAACATTCTGAAACAATGTTGTATGTGAATATTAGTGCTAACATTGTCATTTATCTTTGAAAAGATGTTATGTAAAGATTTTCACTATGCAAGGTAGAAATACAGAAGAAAAGTAGAGGCTAAATATAGGTTTCCTCAACTGCCATCTTGTTATTCCCTTACCCACTTCTTCATGCATCATTACTAAAATGCTATACAGTAAACATCATGGCAGACCTTGTTCTAAGCCTGATCTCTCTTAGCAATATCACAGGTGTTTTCATGCCAATGCGCAGAGCAGATCAGTAGCTCTTTTGGAAGTATAAGAAAGCCTAATCTTGCATGTTCTTCACATGTACCCCAAAACCTAAAATGCAATTAAAAAGAAAGAAGAGATTGGACATGGAAGTGAAGAGGGAGAGGAAGTAGAGGAAATAAACAATTACAAATAAAGCTATTATAATGTTAAGTTTTTTTCATGAAATATAAAGTATTTCCCTAAAAAAAAAAAAAGCCTATTCTACAGTCTCAGGGAAGAAACTTAAATCTAGTCTCAGGACCAAGAATAATTCTCCTGTGCAATACTTTTACATCGTTTGTATTTTAACACTGAGAATTTATTCCACAAGACATTGAGTCCCATGCTATTTCTGGGTTACCTAGGTAATTTAGTTCTCTCACTAAATATCTCCCTAGAGAATCTTTACTCTTGTCAACTATTTTCCTGTTGTAAGTAGCAGTTTTTCCCTCTATTCTAAACTATATATTTGGCAAAACCCATTGCTTTTTCTTAAAAAGTAATTATTCTCTTTATGTTGCAAAAGTCTTCTTTTACCGTCTGACTCAGTAGGAACTAATCTGGGTCAACTTGGGACTTCTCTAAAATAGTCTTGTATAAATGCTCTTTATTAGCCACATGGTAGGAGAGTTTGGGAAAGAAAAGCAGGTAAATGTATATCTAATCAAGAGCATTTGAGGTGGGAAAAATTATATTTTTTGCAAAAATTTGTCTCTACCATGTGCGACGATAGAGAAAGAAATTGGGAACATTACAATCAGGGAAGCTCTGAATGCTTATTTTGTTCCTCTGTGGAAGAGGGAAAGCTATGGAATTACTTGAAACTTCCAAAGCTACCTCCTATTTGTGGTCTAATCTCTTAATATGGAACTTGATTACAATATATAGCAGGGTTCTTTATTTCCAGTATGTCAATGGGCATAGTCAACTTAATCTTAGATTCTATAAGCCATGTGCTTCTGCTGATCCCAATAACTCATTCTTTTATAGTGTTAGGCTGAGCTAATTAATCAGCAATTTAGGTACTGTAAATACGTAACTGTTAATTCCGTTCCTCTGTAGCACATCTAAATTTCTATTGGTCTCTCAAGGCTCAATTCAAATATCCTTTCTTTACCCTCCCAGTCTATGCTCCAAATGAAGAAAGATAACCCTACAGCAATCTGTCTGTCTCTGTTTTTCTTTTGCTCAAACCCTGTGCTATACAGCCAATCTTTCACATCCTCATTAATTTTCTAAGACTTAAAATCATGGGATCTTTCTATAGCCATTCTGCTACTCTCTCTCTTGCAACTTCTAAAGAATATCACAGGTTGAATTATAGCAACTAACCCTGCAGACCCTCTGACGTCTTCCTCCATGCTCAGATTATAGGCCTTGAATAGCACTCAATTCATTAACACTAGTGCTTGAGTATTTCAGTGATTTTAGAGAGGCATGAATCTAAAAGCTAGCATGGCCAGTCTTGTTTCCTTGGCTATGTAATTCAGGGAGATAATCCTTTTTAGATAATCATAATTTGTCAACCTGTGTTCTAGAAATTAACTGTCATCACTCTCACTCCTCTTGACAGTATCTTACACTGATCCAGAATGGTCCAATGGCAAACTCTAAGCTTTGAGACTTCTACCTACATAATTTAAACCAGTGACATGTGAAACAGTCCCTTTCAATTGTTCAGCAAATTGTGAATTTTTCACTTATTTACCTTCACAGAATATCTGTCATAGAGGAATGTTTTAAAATAGCAATTTGGGTCAAAAGTATAAGCATATAGGCAAGAAAGAATATAATCTAAGATAAGCTTAGGGTATCCTATGTAGCTACTTTATATCAGGATTCATCCTTCTCTGTGATTCCTTCATGGGTAGGGTGACCAAGCTGCCCAGTTTGCTTAGGAAAGCACTGGTTTATGCTTATCTTATGGATATAAATAATAGTGTCCCCTTTCTGCTGTCATGGTCCCAATTTGGACAACAAACTCATGGTAACCCTAAGTATAGGGGAAAGACCTGCCCCAGGAAGAATTAGCAGAATCAATTCGTTTCCTTATGCTGTTTTAACACTAGCAGTCAGTTATGGATATTAGCACTGACAGCTTCAGTGACTTTTAGCTGATTGATGTTAGCCTACCCCTTGGCTAGAAAGACTAAAATCTTCTCTCCCTTGAATTCTAAATACAACATCTCTTGTTACACTGATTTGAGTTTTCTTCCCTTTCTACCTGATGAGCTCCTTTGCCCCTGTAGACCAGTATGGGTGACAATGTTTAGTACTAGGGTTTGGCCTTCATTCTCCACACTAAACGCATGTGTTGTTAAGGGATGCCCCTTGAACAGTGTCTTATTCAGCTCAGACTGTACTCACAAAAATACCATAGATGGGTACCTAAAACAACAGAAATTTATTTCTCATAGTTGTGGAGGCTAAGAAGTCCAAGATCAAGGTGCTAGCAGATCTGCTATCTGGTGAGGGCTGTCTTTTTTGTTTGCAGGTGACCATCTTTTCACCATCTTCACGTAGTAGATAACAAAGAGAGAGAAAGCAAGAGCTCTGGTTTCTTTTTATAAGGATGCTAATCCCATTCGTGGGGTGTCCACCCTCATGACTTCATTACCTCCCAGAGGCCCCACCTCCTAATAACATCATACAGAAGGTTAGGATTTCAACACGTGAATTTTTGGGGGAAACAAATATTCAGTCCCCAGCAAACAGTTCTACTGTGATCCAGTCAGAAGATGGAATGTTTAGCTGTTAAACATATGAAGTATTTGAATAAATGACTTGGAAGAAACGCATGTAGAGAATGAAAGTGTTACTTAATCTCAGCATTATAAAACAGGTGGGAAGTTAAATGTAAGGTATCTCTGGGTTGTAAGATAATGGGCAACCTCTGTCTGACCTTGACTTCAGTTTCCTTCAGATATCTCCAGTGAGCATCTTCCTCCTCTGAAAAATAACAACAGTAATAATTTTTCTGAAGGTCCCCCTGAATATTGGCAGTTGAGTGCCCATTGACTCAGCTGTTTTTTAAAAGAAAACATGACAAAATGCAGTATGAGCCCTCATGTGAAGCTAGGGCTGTGGGTAAGTGACTTCAACTTTAACCCTTCAAATAAACTTTTGCAGTAAAGAAGACATGTGCCGAATCTGACTTCGTGTGCAGCAGTGGCCAGTGTGTTCCCAGCCGATGGAAGTGTGATGGAGATCCCGACTGTGAAGATGGTTCAGATGAAACCCCAGAACAGTGCCGTGAGTGTAACTTGCCTTGGCCTTGAACTTTCCCAAGCTGTTCGGTGTCTCACATTTCTAAGTATGGCTTAATCTACTACTTGGTATTCATTTTTCTTTGCCTGCCTTAAAGTTTAGGTCAACTGACTACAAGGTCAGTCAAATCATTATCAGTTTGTCAGCCTCCTTAAAAGAATATTTTCCCTGGTCCAACAAGACTGACGTTCTCTTGGGTAGCTTCGCTATTAAATACTTAAAACTGAAGTCAGCAGATTCAATCAAGAACTCCTTGACTAGGTGCATAGATTTCAAATGTTTGATTATAATGACTCTGAGCAGATGGTACTCTGGTCCTGGAAGCTAAGTCAAGAAGCAAGGGTTCCCCATGGGTCAAGCATAAGCTTTTAGAAGCACAGCTTCTCATATTATTAAAAAGCTATTACTGAAGAGGTAAGGTAGCTAGTAATTGGGTGATATAGTGACTTCTGACACAAACGTAACCTGAAGTTACTAAAGTGGAGATCTTACATCTTGTTCTTAAATAAGAGAAACTTCATAGGTTTGCAAAGGTATACATGTGTCCTTAGGAAAAAGTCGATGAGACCATAAAGAATGATGGTTTGGGATCGTATAAATTAAGGTCACCTGAATGTCAAGGCGAAGAAAGCCTTAGAGTTCATTTTAAGTCAGTAGAGGCCTGTACCGGTGGAAGCGCTAAAAAAGAAGGACTAACATGAAGAAAATTTAGGTCTGAAATGTGATTATGAAAGAAAATCAAATAGAAAGGAAATTAAGGGTATTACTTTCAATTTTCTAGATAAGAAGTGAGGAGAGTAATATTGGTCAGGGCAAGTGAGTTAAAAACCTGTGAGCTAAAGACAGGTTGTACAAAGATTCAGCCCCAAGTTTTAGTGGAGAATGACCTGGTCAAGTCAACCATTAGGGTATATTTCTGCTTTTCAAGATGTCAATGTAAAGGAGGTTGTGAAGGAGGCTTGTAAAGGAATCTAGGCAATAGAAGATTTCTTAGGTGTTTGAACGTCTGACCTTTCATGCAGTTGAGATTAGGTGACAATATCTGGGTGTGCCCACTTGATATCCAACAGATAAGTAGTGGTCTAGGAGCAGGCCAGCCAATAAACTTCACCATGCCAAGTAAAACAAAGCCAGAAGTGAGCATGCCATGGGACCTTGAAGGAGTGACAAGGTCAAGGCTGTCAGGTACACTGCCAAGTTGCATAGGTTGGCATAGCTTCTAAGGAATGGAGCTGGTGAAAGAGCTCCCCAAACTTCAGCCAGTTAGTCAAATTTCACCAGGGTGCCAGGCTACTGAGTCACAGGTATTAGCGTTCTCAAGCAGCACAGAAGCAGCAGCTTTGCATTGATCAGTTTTGAGGCTGTTTTGAGACTGTATATCATCAACAGATATGAGAACGTGCCGCATAAATGAAATCAGCTGTGGCGCCCATTCTACTCAGTGTATCCCAGTGTCCTGGAGATGTGATGGTGAAAATGATTGTGACAGTGGAGAAGATGAAGAAAACTGTGGTAAGAAGATCAGTGTTGAGTGACGTAACCCAAAGATCCTTTTCCTCAAGCAAGGGTGGGCAGGGGAAACTAACCTAAGCATGAAGATGCACTGACATTGACTCACTTTTCAGTGACTTCACTATCTGCTCAATTAGTTGTCCTTCATAACTGCCCTAAAACCCTGAAAGACATTCAGATGGCAATTGGCAATTGCTTGGTGTTTCTTTTAGGCGAATAGAAATAAGAAGGTAAGTTATTCAAGGCACTTCCATGTAGAAGTAGCTCAGGGAAGCAGCAATTGTGTGGGCTTTTGCCTTTGTTGTGATAGTAATTCATGTGTCTTTTGCACTTTGGCTCAATAAAACTAGAAGATGAGTAGGATAGGCAAATACGTTTGTAGGTCTAAACTTGATCGGATTGTTGGAATAAATTATTTGAGTGTTATACAAGCATTTCTTTGCTCCTGAACTAGATTCTGCCATAGCTTTTCCAAAAAAAAAAAAAGACACAGAAGCATGAATAAACATCTTACCTGAGATACCCAAAGAAAAGTCTACCCAACTGGTGATCCCTTTGTCTCCTGTTGCAGTTCCTGTCTCTGAAAGCTAACTCTGTTTCCTATTCTTTCATATTTCTGATCTTGGAAAATCTTTAATAAAATGCTACATGTTGAAGGTGAGGGCCTGGGAAAATCGCTAGGTTGAACAAACAGTGCTTTGAACGTTCTTTCAAGCTACCGCCCTTTTTATAGAGCCTCTAAAATCTGCAGATCCCAAGTCTGACAAGCATGGGCCTCCTGATATGGTAGTAGTCGAGGGAGCTCAGGGCATTTACAGTTGAAACACCAGTCTTGTGTACAGAAGTCGCCTTCTGAGGTCAGTACCACTGCACCTAGTCCAATGAGTTTTAGTGTTCAATCCTAGAATTGAGTTTTCCATATTGGTAAGCCCTGGTGCTGCCAAAGTGTTTCCCTTATAAGTCTAGACTTTGCTTCCCAAGAGAGCCGTGGTCTCTATTCTAATTGCCACCAAATTGTGACCTTGAAACGTTTGGCAGGAATTTAAGTCAAAGTACCAATTGGCCAATAGGACTAGCTTATCATTATCAGCATACCGGAATGTTAAATGGTGATTCTAGCCCTGGCAATGACTTTTTAAAAATGGAAAGTGTTTAAGATGACTCGTTATTCCTGATCCTTATTTAAAGGACCAAAAAGAGGAACCATGTATGGTGGTACGTGGTTCACCTCTTTTTGGCGACAACATCTTAATGCTTGCTGTGAATATTACGTTGCATGATATTCTCAACTAGTGCTGTGATCTGGCCTGACAAGCAGTATGCTGATTCAAGGACAACTCAATCTCTCCCTTCCAAAATGAAATCCCTTGTTCCAGTTTGTTATTACCACTGTCACTTTCACAGCTAATTGTGGTTCTCATCTCAAATTAATTTCCAGTCTTCAACTATTTCTTGGTCCTTTATTTCTTTTCTACTTATTTATAGTGTGTGCATTTTTTGTACAATGAGACTGTGTTCTTGATTTCAATCCTCCATTTTAGCCTTTAGGATGGACTAGTAAGTTAGGATTAATGATTAAAGATCAATGTATTAGATTTTGGGCCAAGAATCTTGAAAGGACCAATCTTGATGCACTTTGAATGGGGTATCCTCTCTCTTAATAGGTAACATAACATGTAGCCCCGATGAGTTCACGTGCTCCAGTGGCCGCTGCATCTCCAGGAACTTTGTATGCAATGGCCAGGATGACTGCAGCGATGGCAGCGACGAGCTGGACTGTGCCCCGCCAACCTGTGGCGCCCATGAGTTCCAGTGCAGCACCTCCTCCTGCATCCCCATCAGCTGGGTGTGCGACGATGATGCAGACTGCTCTGACCAATCTGATGAGTCCCTGGAGCAGTGTGGCCGCCAGCCAGTTATACACACCAAGTGCCCAGCCAGTGAGATCCAGTGCGGCTCTGGCGAGTGCATCCATAAGAAATGGCGATGCGACGGGGACCCTGACTGCAAGGACGGCAGTGATGAGGTCAACTGTCGTAAGTAGCCTTCTAGCATGGCACGTGCGGTTCTCTTCCCTGTATCAACTGGGACAATTTGCTGGCTTCATTCCATGATGTTTCCTCCCTTTGCAGCCTCTCGAACTTGCAGACCTGACCAGTTTGAATGTGAGGATGGCAGCTGCATCCATGGTAGCAGGCAGTGTAATGGTATCCGAGACTGTGTTGACGGTTCTGACGAAATCAACTGCAAAAATGGTAAGGATCTCTTCTTGTTGGTTAAGCAGTGGATTGCTCTGACCAGACCCACCCATGGAATCTCTCTTCTTTGTTTCTCTTTGTAGTCAATCAGTGCTTGGGCCCTGGAAAATTCAAGTGCAGAAGTGGAGAATGCATAGATATCAGCAAAGTATGTAACCAGGAGCAGGACTGCAGGGACTGGAGTGATGAGCCCCTGAAAGAATGTCGTAAGTGAAGGGGTTGCCCAAGTACAGAGCCTGGACGTTTGATACATTCCAGCACGGCTAACACTGTGTAGACCCCCCCGCGTGATGGTTGGTTAAACTTTTTAATGTACTGAAGTTCTACTGTAGACTTCAGAGTGAAACTTTGTGACTTAAAAGCCCAGGTAGTTCGAGAAGCTAGTTTACAGTTTTTGTTTTTTTCTTTTTTCTTTTTTTCTGAGATGGAGTTTTGCTCTTGTTGCCCAGGCTGGAGTACAATGATACAGTCTTGGCTCACTGCAACCTCTGCCTCCCATGTTCAAGCAGTCTCCTGCCTCAGCCTTCCAAGTAGCTGGGACTTACAGGTGCCTGTCACCACACCTGGCTATTTTTTTTTTTTTTTTGGTATATTTAGTAGAGATGAGTTTTCATCATCTTGCCCAGGCTGGTCTCGAACTCCTGACCTCAGATGATCCATCTGTCTTGGCCTCCCAGAGTGCTGGGATTATAGGCATGAGCCACACTTGCCCAGCCCAAACTAGTTTATAGTTTAACCTCCTTAAAGGTATCTGATCAGCAATAGAGAAACTTGAATAAATGCTGCTTGACCAACTGGTAACTTGCTAAGGAGATAGATAATCCACCCTGAAACACATACCTATAAAATAAATGATTAGTTATTAATCAAATCATGGGTTTGACCAGGCCAGCTTGGTAAGTTATCACAAATACCCTGGTTTTTAAATGTGAAAGACAGACATTAATTGTAAATAACTTGTCAAGTGACTGCTACATTTTTATTTCAGATATAAATGAATGCTTGGTAAATAATGGTGGATGTTCCCATATCTGCAAAGACCTAGTCATAGGCTACGAGTGTGACTGTGCGGCTGGGTTTGAACTGATAGATAGGAAAACCTGTGGAGGTGAGTCTAAGAAGAAAACCTGGACCCTGCGGGTGGTGGGAAAGGGCAGTATGTACCTGGTAAGGTATAAGAGCAGCAAGACTAATTCTAATTTCCCTCCTAGATATTGACGAATGCCAAAACCCGGGAATCTGCAGTCAAATTTGTATCAACTTAAAAGGCGGTTACAAGTGTGAATGTAGTCGTGGCTATCAAATGGATCTTGCCACTGGTGTGTGCAAGGCAGTAGGTAAATGCACTTGGACTGTTGTGGCTGTTGTACCTTTACGAGTAAGTGCTCTAAAAGGTACACCCAGTGACTACAATAGTCAAACTAAACATGAAATTGTACTTGAGAACGATGCTGCTATCTCATAATACAGCAGTATAGGTTAAATAGCGATCTCTCCCCCAGACGTCTGCTTTAGTCATTCCTTTTGCATATAATAACATGAATATCTACCAGGTTTGCATAGTTACTGTTTCCAAAACTTGAGTGCAACTCCATTAAGTGACTTATTCACCAGCCACCCTGTTGTTGAAGGCTGTAACCCCAGGACTGCCTTCTAAACCATAGGAAGCACTTGCAGGTCCCAGGGGCAGGAACTCCAGAACGGGTACTACTGAGGTATTCCATAATACCTTTACTTTTTAAGTGCTCCTCTGCTGGGAGGAGGGGGTTTAGAAAGATGCTGCCTTCTTAAAGCAAAACTAAGTAACCCTGACTCCCATCTTGCAGGCAAAGAGCCAAGTCTGATCTTTACTAATCGAAGAGACATCAGGAAGATTGGCTTAGAGAGAAAAGAATATATCCAACTAGTTGAACAACTAAGAAACACTGTGGCTCTCGATGCTGACATTGCTGCTCAGAAACTGTTCTGGGCCGATCTAAGCCAAAAGGCCATCTTCAGGTAACTTTCAGTTCCATTCATGGTGTCTTGACAAGTCATTGCCACTAGGGAAGTGATCTGTGGGATAGCTTGGAGGAGTTTCTTTTGTGTCTAGCTCCATCTAGCATCTAATTACCTGGAGACATTAAATCTAACACTAATTATTAAATTTTGTCAGTTCCTAATTAGAAACTAACAATTGTCTATGAAGTAAAAAAAGATGACATCTTTCATGTTTTTTATATTTTCTCCCTGTTCTCCACAGTTAATTGAGAACTATTCATTGCTGCTACAAATCGAAATGGTAGTACAGCCTTTTCTTAATGGGAACGATAGCAACTCAGATGATGGATACTGAACAAATAGCTTCACTTAGAAATTTATTGTTGTTGTATATAGAATACATACCAGCAACTAGATAATCTACAGCATTATTAATTTAGCATCAGTAAGCAGCATGGTTAAATAATTTGAGTGGTGAGCTACGGTGTTAATTCATTGACCATTTTGTAAGCAGAAAGTCCATTCTCCATGCTCTCATGGTGTCAAACTCTTAAATTTCTTGTGACCTATTCTGTTTCAGTGCCTCAATTGATGACAAGGTTGGTAGACATGTTAAAATGATCGACAATGTCTATAATCCTGCAGCCATTGCTGTTGATTGGGTGTACAAGACCATCTACTGGACTGATGCGGCTTCTAAGACTATTTCAGTAGCTACCCTAGATGGAACCAAGAGGAAGTTCCTGTTTAACTCTGACTTGCGAGAGCCTGCCTCCATAGCTGTGGATCCACTTTCTGGGTTTGTGGTCTATGTTTTCCATCATGTAGCCTTTTGGATGGTATCTGTGTAAATCAGGAGGTTTCTCATACCTGAATTAGTACTAAAATCTCAAGGTTTATCAGCCCTCCACAACAAAGAATTAGAATTGGAAATTAGAATTCAGGATATCAGTGGTGCCCCAGTTGAGTGACCCTGGGACAGCCTTATTTATATGACATGTCCTCTCTATCTGACTCTCGTATGACTGACTGCTGGTTGACATTAATGAATTAACATTCCTGATTTGATGTGTACTAAAAGCTGTATCCGGACCCTTTTGCCCACTCACTTTCTATGCAAGTGATTTTTAATTTTTGACTGAATACTTTGCTGGGTTAGAAGAGCAGCTTAGGAAGTTGAGTAAGGCTGTAGTCATCACAGCTGGCTCCCATGCAGCCTCACAGAGCTCAGTCAGCCAGCCTGCTGTGAAATTTAAAGGATATTTGTCTTTCACTCCTCTGAAAGAACCGACCCTTTAGAAAGGAAGCATAACCTTGTGACTTTGGGCTGGAATTTAAATGTCAGATAAACATAGATTATTACAGTTAATAATGAGCTTGTAGATTCTTAATGTTCAATTTTACTTCCCTGGAACATAATTGAGACCCTTAAATGTTACTGTTTGTCACTAGAGATTCCCTTGAGTTTTCTGTTCAAACTTTTGTTTCAAGCTACAACTTTATTCCTTCGAAACCACTGGGGCTAATTTCTCATTTAATTCTTCACAGCTTTGTTTACTGGTCAGACTGGGGTGAACCAGCTAAAATAGAAAAAGCAGGAATGAATGGATTTGATAGACGTCCGCTGGTGACAGTGGACATCCAGTGGCCTAACGGAATTACACTGGGTATGTATGTTCTTCCTCCTTGACCCCCCACTCAGCCAGCTTCATAGTGTTTCCATTTATCTCCATGGTGAATTCTGGACTAGCAGATGTGTCTACTGTTTCCGTCTAAATTCTAGCAGGAATTTTTGATGGAGTATCTGAACAACACAAGTAAAACAGTGGATTAGCAAATTATGCATTCAATAATTACTGGCCTGTTGTCCAGTTGGGCCTAATATGTGACACAGATTCAGTGAATCTTGGGTCCTGGGCACACGATACCAAGTATTCCTGGCACGAGTGCCTTAGCATTTCCTGAACTGCAGGCTTTTAACAGTTTTCTTCTGGCTTTTGGGAGGAGAAATGCTAGCCTCTTTTAGTATTTGCTGTAATGTGAGTAACATTTCTTAAGTCATTTAGTTTGAGAATCTCAGGTATCCCATCAGTCCCCAAAAATGAATGTGGATACAGATTCTCTATGCTGCTTCTCAAGGTTTGTGGGACCCCTGTTCAGAAAGAACCATGAAAGTAGAATACTAATTCATTAGACACTTTAAATGGAAGCCAGAGCAGTAGTGGCTTATCATGTAACGACAATTCTTTTCCTACCTAGACCTTATAAAAAGCCGCCTCTATTGGCTTGATTCTAAGTTGCACATGTTATCCAGCGTGGACTTGAATGGCCAAGATCGTAGGATAGTACTAAAGTCTCTGGAGTTCCTAGCTCATCCTCTTGCACTAACAATATTTGAGGTAAGATGTGTCTCACATCGAAGTGTGTACCTTTGAGCTACTGTAGCACTTTGAGGAAAAATAAAAGGCACATGGGGAAGAGGGAAGAGCAGCTGAGCATGGCTTGAGAAACTGCCTTTACTTAAAACCTGGTACGAATTGGACACTAATTCCCAGAAGTACTTCTAACCTAAACTTGATTCTTTTACAGTTTTATATCTAGTGTCCCAGATCAGCATTCAATAAACATGGTCCATTAAATGGGAAGTAAATGATGATGACCTTAGAAATGGACTTGTGTTAATCCTGGATGTACATGCTAATTGAGGGGTTCTGTTTCAGGATCGTGTCTACTGGATAGATGGGGAAAATGAAGCGGTCTATGGTGCCAACAAATTCACTGGATCAGAGCTAGCCACTCTAGTCAACAACCTTAACGATGCCCAAGACATCATTGTCTATCATGAACTTGTACAGCCACCAGGTACCGTGGAGAAACTGTCCTTAATAACCACTTTAAGGGAAGCAGCATGACACAGAACCTGCTGGATGTCAGTTGCTCTTGGCAACTCAGCATTCTTTAAAAGGGAACTTTTGCCCTGCTGTATCCTACCTCAAACGTTTCACACATTATCTTTTTTATCTCTGCTGTCTTAGAGAAATGGCTTCTCAACTTCAGCTCCTAGCTTCCTCCCAAGCCTCAAGTGTCAGAGCTTTTATTCCTGTTTTATCCGTGTCCCCTTGGCCTTAAGCCCCTCTTGCTAAGACTTTTTCAGTAACCTCCAAAGTAGCTTTTGTGCTACAAACTTTCTCTACTGTTAGTTTGCTAGGATTGTTGCAACAAAGTACCACAAACTGCCTTAAACAACAGAAATGTATTGTCTCGAAGTTCTGGAGGGCAGACGTCTGAAATTAAGGTGCCAGCCGGGTTGGTGCCCCCCGAGGGCTGTGAGGGAAGGGTCTGCTCCAAGCTGCTTTTCTTGGTTTGTTGATGGTGCTCTTCCCACTGTGTCTCTTCACACCATCTTTCCTCTGTATATGCTTGTGTCCAGAGTTCCTTTTGTTTTTTGAGACCGAGTCTTGTTCTGTCACCCAGGCTGCAGTGCAGTGGCACAATCTTGGCTCACTGCAACCTCCACCTCCTGTGTTCAAGCAATTCTTGTGCCTCAGCCTCCCGAGTAGCTGGGACTACAGGAGTGAGCCACCATGCCTAGCTAATTTTTGTATTTTTGCTAGAGATGAGGTTTCACCATGTTGGCCAGACTGGTCTTGAACTCCTGACCTCGAGTAATCTGCCTACCCCGGCATGAGCTGTACTACCAGTTATGTTAAATTACAGCCCACCTTAGTGACCTCATTTTAACTTGATCACCTCTGCAAATATCCTGTCCAAATAAGGTAATATTCTGAGGTAGAAAGACTTCAGAATGAATCTTAGGGAGGAACACAATTCAGATCATAACACCTGTTTTCCCCCGTGACACACGTGATACAGGATTTTGTAGCTTCTCAAACACATCAGGCTATATTGTCTCCTGCTGAAAACACTTGGCTGGTTCTATCTAAATAAAACCTAAAAACCTTTTTAAGGCTGAGTTTCCTTCCACTTTGTTGGAGCAAGTCAAGAGAAAACCAGGAGAACATACCTAGTCTCCTTCTTCTGAGCCTTCATGCTAAGCCTTGGGCCAATAGTAAGAGCCAGTCCTGGTCCCACACCTCCCTTCCCCACCTCCTTTTTTGACACCTATCTCTTAACGACAGAACTTTCACAGTCTATCTCCAAGAGGTCGCTTTGAATCTGGTGTCCTTAGAGCATTCTGCCTATACCTTTATACTTATTCTTCCTTGCTATTGCTCTCATTTGGAGGATTGACAGAACAGACAAGCTCTTGGGGGCAAGGACTCAGGTCTTCCACATGTAGAACAAAGCTTTATATATACTAGCCACTGGAATACCCATTTTAATGGTATTGTTTTTTTCCTGACTAGGTAAAAATTGGTGTAAAGAAGACATGGAGAATGGAGGATGTGAATACCTATGCCTGCCAGCACCACAGATTAATGATCACTCTCCAAAATATACCTGTTCCTGTCCCAGTGGGTACAATCTAGAGGAAAATGGCCGAGACTGCCAAAGTAAGGCTTTTTGTGTTTCAACCACAAGTAAAACATACAACAAGCAATATGATTAAGACACCAACTATACCAAGTAGCTTGAATTTTTAAGAATTCTGTTTTAACTGATTATTTGAATAGATTTGAGAAGATTCTATTGTTGTATGCCAGCTTACTATGGCATTTCTTTAGAACTGACTAACGCATTTCAACATGAAATGAGTTTATAGGAGACTAAAGTGTCAATATACCTTATACTAATTTGTACCAATTAGTCCCATAACAGCACTGAGCTAGCCAACATGCAGGTAATTAAATGAGGTCTTAACATTTTTCCACAAAAGAGGGAGCAGACATTATGCTTCAGGAAGGCTGTGCTTCCAGGAGACCTCATTGCCTCAGTGGGTGATGCTACCCTAAAATAACACTTCAACCACGTTTGCATTTAGTTTTCTGTTCTTACCTTTTGATTAAGTGGCAAATTAAACTTGTTTGTGTGATCAAGGAGCTCATATGATGAGGTTGGTGAGGTTTTTATTAGCTTAATTCATGGTCACAGCAGGGATTATCTCAGTTTACCAAGAAGTTAGTTGCAAGACAGTCCGGTATACCAGAGCATCTTGAGAACATTTCTTGTAGTTTCCAGGAACATGGGATGTCGTTTAGAGGGATAAATATGGTTGTCCATCATTTTGGATTGTCAAATTCCAAACACTGCTCTTCGCAAAGTTTCATGTATCTCTTTTTTGCATGAGGACTGCTATTTCAATTTTCACACATCAGCTGTACAACTTCGTTCAGCAGTAGTTTGTCTGTTTTACCTGGTTTTTTTCCTTTTTTATTATACTTTAAGTTCTGGGATACATGTGCAGAACGTGCAGGTTTGTTACATAGGTTTACATGCACCATGGTGCTGTGCTGCATCTATCACCCCATCATCTATGTTAGGTACTTCTCCTAATGCTATCCCTCCCCTAGTCCCCACCCCCCAACAGATCTCAGTGTGTGATGTTCCCCTCCCTGTGTCCATGTGTTCTCATTGTTCAACACCCAGTTATGTGTGAGAACATGCAATGTTTGGTTTTTTGTTCGTGTCAGTTTGCTGAGATTGATGGTTTCCACTTCCCTCCACCCACCCACCCCCCTAACCCCCCAACCATTGGTTTCCAGTTTTATCCATGTCTCTGCAAAGGACATGAACTCATCTTTTTTATGGCTGCATAGTATTCCACGGCGTATAAGTGCCACAGTTTCTTTACCCAGTCTATCATTGATGGGCGTTAGGGTGGTTCCAAGTCTTTGCTATTGTGAAGAGTGCCATGATAAACATAGGTGTGCATGTGTCTTTATAATAGAATGATTTATAATCATTTGGGTATATACCCAGTCATGGAATTGCTGGGTCAAATGGCATTTATAGATCTAGATTGTTGAGGAATTGCCACACTGTCTTACATAGTGGTTGAACTAATTTACACTCCCACCAATAGTGTAAAAGTGTTCCTATTTCTCCACATCCTCTCTAGCAGCTGTTGCCTCCTGACTTTTTAATGATTGCCATTCTAACTGGCATGAGATGATATGTCAATGTTGTTTTGATTTGCATTTTTCTAATAACCAGTGAAGATGGGCTTTTTTCCATGTTTGTTGCTGCATAATGTCTTCTTTTCAGAAATGTCTGTTCATATCCTTTGCCACTTTTTGATGGGGTTGTTTTTTTCTTGTAAATTTAAGTTCTTTGTAGATTCTAAATAATTAGCCCTTTGTCAGATGGGTAGATTCAAAAATATTTTCCCATTCTGTTGGTTGTCGGTTCACTCTAATGATAGTTTCTTTTGCTGTGTATAAGCTCTTTAGTTTAATTACATCCCATTTGTCTCTTTTGGATTGTTGCCATTGCTTTGGTGTTTCAGTCATGAGGTCTTTGCCTATGACTATGTCCCTAATGGTATTGCCTAGGGTTTCTTCCAGGGTTTTTATGGTGTAAGGTCTTATGTTTAGATCTTTAATCCATCTGAAGTTAAATTTAGTTTAAGGTGTAAGGAAGGGATCCAGTTTTAGCTTTCTGCATATGGCTAGCCAGTTTTCCCAACACCATTTATTAAATAGGGTATCTTTTCCCCATTGCTTGTTTTTATCAGGCTTGTCAAAGATCAGATGGTTGTAGATGTGAGGCCTCTATTCTGTTCCAGTGGTCTATATCTCTGTTTTGGTACCAGTGCCATGCTATTTTGATTACTGTAGACTTGTAGTATAGTTTGAAATCAGGTAGGTGATGCCTGCAGCTTTGTTGTTTTTGCTTAAGATTGTCTTGGCTGTGCAGACTCTTCTTTGGTTCCATATGAAGTTTAAGGTGTTTTTTTCCAATTCTGTGAAGAAAGTCAGTGGTAGCTTGATGGGGATAGCATTGAATGTATAAACTACTTTGGTCAGTATGGCCATTTTCACAATATTGATTCTTCCTAATCATGGGCATGGAATATTTTTTCATCTGTTTGTGTCCTGTCTCATTTCCTTGAGCAGTGGTTTGTAGTTCTCCTTAAAGAAGTCCTTCACATCCCTTGTTGTGAATAAGGATGTGACTACAGTTGTGAAAACAACTGTGTTCCTAGGTATTTTATTGATTTGGCTCTCTGTTTATCTGTTATTGGTTTATAGGAATGCTTGTGATTTCTGCACATTGATTTTGTATCCTGAGACTTTGCTGAAGTTGGTTATCAGCTTAAGGAGATGGGGGGCTGACATGATGGGGTCTTCTAAATATACAGTCATGTCATCTGCAAATAGAGACGATTTGACTTCCTCTTTTCCTAATTGAATATCCTTTCCTTTTCTTGCCTGATTGCCCTGGCCAGAACTTCCAATATTGTTTTGAATAGGAGTGGTGAGAGAAGACACCCTTGTCTTGGCCAGTTTTCAAAGGGAATGCTTCCAGTTTTTGCCTACTCAGTATGATATTGGCTATGGGTTTGACATAACTAGCTCTTATTATTTTGAGATATGTTCCATTGATACCCAGTTTATTGAGAGTTTTTAGCATGAAGGGCTGTTGAATTTTGTCAAAGGCCTTCTCTGCATCTATTGAGAAAATCGTGGTTTTTGGCTTTGGTTCTGTTTATGCAATGGATTGCGTTTATTTGCATATGTTGAAGCAGCCTTACATCGCAGGGATGAAGCTGATTAGATTGTGATGGATAAGCTTTTTGGTGTGCTGTTGGATTTGACCTGCCAGGATTTTATTGGGGATTTTCGCATCAATGTTCTTCATGGATATTGGCCTGAAATTTTCTTTGGTGGTTGTGTCTCTACCAGGGTTTGGTATCAGGATGATGCTGATCTTATAAAACGAGTTAGGGAGGATTCCTTCTTTTACTATTGTTTGGAATAGTTTCAGAAGAAATGGTACCAGCCCCTCTTTGTACCTCTGGTAGAATTTGGCTGTGAACCCATCTGGTCCTGGACTTTTTTGATTGGTAGGCTATTAATTGCTCCCTCAACTTCAGACCTTGTTAGCGGTCTAATGACTTCTTCCTGGGGTAGTGTTGGGAGGGTGTAAGTGTCCAGGAATTTATCCATTTCTTCTAGACTTTCTGGTTTATTTGCATAGAGTATTTATAGTATTCTCCGATGGTAGTTTGTATTTCTGTGGGATCAGTGGTGATATCCCCTTTATCATTTTTTATTGCATCTGTTTGATTTTTCTCTCTTTTCTTTATTAGTCTGCCTAGCGGTGTATCTATTTTGTTGATCTTTTCAAAAAACCAGCTCCTGGATTTATTGATTTTTTTGAAGGGTTTTTGGTGTCCCTCCTTCAGCTCTACTCTGATCTTAGTTACTTAATGTCTTCTGCTAGCCTTTGAATTTGTTTGCTCTTGCTCCTCTGGTTTTTTAATCGTGATGTTAGTGTGTCGATTTTAGATCTTTCTTGGTTTCTCTTGTGGGCATTTGGTGCTATAAATTTCCCTCTTCACACTGCTTTAAATTGTCCCAGAGATTCTGGTACATTGTGTCTTCATTTTCACTGGTTTCATAGAACATCTTTATTTCTGCCTTCATTTCGTTATTTATCCAGTAGTCATTCAGGAGCAGGTTGTTTAGTTTTCATGTATTTGTGCAGTTTTCTAATTTGATTGAACTGTGGTCTGAGAGACTGTTATGATTTCTGTTCTTTTGTACTGGCTGAGGAGTGTTTTACTTCCAATTATGTGGTCAGTTTTAGAATAAGTGTGATGTGGTGCTGAGAAGAATGTATATTCTGTGGATTTGAGGTGATTTCTATTAGGTCCGCTTAGTCCAGAGCTCAGTTCAGCTCTGTACATTCTTGTTAATTTTCTGTCTCGGTCTAAAACTGGAATGGGGTGTTAAAGTCTCCCATTAATACTGTGTGGGAATCTAAGTCTCTTTTTAGGTCTTTAAGAACTTGCTTTATTTATCTGAGTCTTCCTGTATTGGGAGTGTATATGTTTAGGATACTTAGCTCTTCTTGATGCATTCATCCTTTTACCATTATGTCATGCCCTTCTTTGTCTCTTTTGATTGTTGTTGCTTTAAAGTCTGTTTTAGCAGAGACTAGGATCGTGACCCCTGCTTTTTTTTGCTCTCCATTTGCTTGGTAAATCTTCCTCCATCCCTTTAATTTTGAACCTATGTGTGCCTTTACACGTGAGATGGATCTCTGGAATACAGCACACCAATGGATCTTCACTCTATCTAATTTGCCAGTCTGTGTCTTTTAATTGGGGCATTTAGCCCATTTACATTTAAATTCACACATAACAATATTAACATTTAAGGTTAATGTTTTTATGTGTGAATTTGATCCTCCCATTTTGATGCTAGCCTATGGTTTTGCTTGTTCATTGATGCAGTTTCTTCGTAGTGTTGATGGTCTTTACAATTTGGTATGTTTTTGCAGTGGCTGGTTCTGGTTGTTCCTTTCCATGTTTAGTGCTTCTTTCAGGACTTCTTGTAAACCAGGCCTGATGATGACAAAATCTATCAGCAGTTGCTTGTCCATAAAGGATTTTATTTCTCCTTGGTTTATGAAGCTTAGTTTCACTGGATATGAAATCCTGAGTTGAAAATTCTTTTAAGGATTTTGAATATTGGCCCCCACTCTCTTCCTGCTTGTAGAGTTTCTGCCAAGAGATTTGCTGTGAGTCTGATAGGTTTCCCTTTGTAGGTAACCTGACCTTTCTCTCTGGCTGCCTTTAACATTTTTCCTTCATTTCAACCCTGGTGAATGTGATGATTCTGTCTTGTGGTTGCTCTTCTCAAGGAGTATCTTTATGGTGTTCTGTGTATTTCCTGAATGTGAGTGTTGGCCTGCTTTGCTGGGCTGGGGGAGTTCTCCTGGATAATATCCTGAAGAGTGTTTTCCAGCTTGGTTTCATTGTCCCCGTCACTTTCAGGTACACCGATGAAATGTAGATTTGCTGTTTTCACATAATCCCATATTTCTTGGAGACTTTATTTTATTGAGTTGATCTTCAATCTCTGATATCCTTTCTTCTTCTTGATAGATTTGGCTATTGAAACTTGTGTATGCTTTACAAAGTTCTCATACTGTGGTTTTCAGCTGCATGAGGTCCTCTCTGTTGTTCTCTATGCTGGCTATTCTAGTTAGCGTTTCGTCTCACCTTTTTTTGAAGGGTCTTAGTTTCCTTGCATTGGGTTAGTACATGCTCCTTTAGCTTGGAGAAGTTTGTTATTACCCACCTTCTGAAGCCTGCTCTGGTTAATTTGTCATACTCATTTTTCGTCCAGTTTTGTTCCCTTGCTTGTGATCCATTGGAGGAGAGAGTCATTCTGGTTTTTGTAGTTTTCGGACTTTTTGCAGGGTTTATCTACCTTTGGTCTTTGACGTTGGTGACCTTTGGAAGGGGTCTCTGAGTGGACATCCTTTCGGTTGATGTTGAAACTATTTCTTTGTTAGAAGGAAAACTAACAAACAGAAAGCTAACAGTCAAGCCCCTCTGCTGCAGGTCTGCTGGTGGTTCACTCCAGACCCTGCTTGCCTGAGAATCACCAGCGAGGGCTGCAGAACAGCAAAGACTGCTGCCTGTAGCTGGGTCCCAGCAGATGCCAGCCAGAGGTCTCCTGTATGAGGTGTCTGTTAGCCTCTGCTGGGAGATGTCTCCCAGTCGGGATCCACTGGGGTCAAGGAGCCCCTTGAGGAGGCATTCTGTCCCTTATCAGAGCTCGAATGCTGTGCTGGGAGATCCACTGTTCCCTTCAGAACAGCCAGGCAGGGACGTTTAAGTCTGCTGAAGCTATACCTACAACTGCCCCTTTTCCCAGGTGCTCTTTGTCAGGAAGGTGGGGCCCTTAGAAGTCCTTGATGGGCTGCTGCCTTTTTTCAGAGATGCCCTGCCCAGCAAGGAGGGAGTCTGGTGACATAGTCTGCTTGCAGAGGCCTTGCTGAGTTGTCATGGGCTCTTCCCAATCGCTGTGAAAACTTCCCCGTGAGTTTGTTTACACAGGCGAGGTTAAAACTGCCTACCTGGCCGGGCGCGGTGGCTCACGCCTGTAATCCCAGCACTTTGGGAGACCGAGGCGGGTGGATCACGAGGTCAAGAGATCGAGACCATCCTGGTCAACATGGTGAAACCGTGTCTCTACTAAAAATACAAAAAATCAGCTGGGCATGGTGGTACATGCCTGTAATCCCAGCTACTCAGGAGGCTGAGGCAGGAGAATTGCCTGAACCCAGGAGGCNCCAGGAGGCGGAGGTTGCGGTGAGCCGAGATTGCGCCATTGCACTCCAGCCTGGGCAACAAGAGCGAAACTCCGTCTCAAAAAAAAAAAAAAAAACTGCCTACCTGAGCTTCAGCAATGGCAGACGCCCCTCCCCTTCACTGAGCCAAAACAACCCAGGTCAAGCCGACTGCTGTGCTGGCTACCAGAATTTCGAGCCAGTGGATCTTAGCTTGCTGGTCTTCATGGGGGTGGGACCTGCTGAGCCAGATCACTTGGCTCCCTGGTTTCAGCCCCCCTTTCTCAGGAAAGTTAATAGTTCTGTGTCTCCGGCATTCCCTGTACCATTGGAGGTTAAAAAAAAATGCAGCTAGTTTGGGAAAACACCAAACGGCTGCCCAGTTTTGTGCTGGAAACCCAGGGCACTGGTGTTGTAGGCACCAGAGGGAATCTCCTGGTGTGCAGGTTGTGAAGACCATGGGAAAAGTTCCTAATGGCTTACCTTCACAAGGAACAGGAGATCCTCAGCCCCTTGCACTTCCCGGGTTAGGCAGTGCCCTACCCTGCTTTGGCTCACCCTCCTTGGGCTGCACCCACTGTCTAACCAGTCCCAGTGAGATGAGCCACATACCTCAGTTGGAAATGCGGAGATCACCCACCTTCCTCTTCGCTCTCACTGGGAGCTGCGCACAGGAGCTCTTCCTATTTGGCCATCTTGCCAGTAATCTTCTTTTACCTAGTTTTAAAATAACCTATTGTATGGCTTGTCTGGACAAAACAGCCAGCCATTCTGGAACCTTGGCATTAACCAGGTTCTTGGTTTTTATAACTCAGGTACTGCTACTACTGTGACTTACAGTGAGACAAAAGATACAAACACAACAGAAATTTCACCAACTAGTGGACTAGTTCCTGGAGGTATTGAGTTCAGTACTGCGAACTGTTAATCTCAACTAACAGCTACACTTATTGTATCTATGACTTAAATAATTAATGCAGCCTTTAACTACTAGTTCTGCCCCAATTGGTAACCTATATTTAAACTCCAAAGACTTAAAACTTGCATATCTTATCCTGACTGACCATTAAGGTTTCTAATAGAGAGCTGTCAGGGAAAGGGCTATTACAGCATGTGACTCAAATACTTCTAGGCCAGAGTTGTTCCTGGTATTCACTTGTAGTAGCTACTAAACAACAATATTGGATGCATAGGTTTTGGGTCCTTACCTGATGGGTTAATTTCTAAGTCTGAATACAGCCCCTTCCAAACTGATTCCTTTTATTCCTCTGTAGGGATCAATGTGACCACAGCAGTCTCAGAAGTCAGTGTTCCCCCAAAAGGGACTTCTGCTGCATGGGCCATTCTTCCTCTCTGTAAGTAGATTTCCTATACATATGGATTCAAGAACTTCTTAGAAACAGATGAACATTTTTTGTTCATCTGCAGCTACCCCTTTCCTGGCCCTTTATGCTGTAATAGCACTGTGACACTGAATTTCATCCACTTTCTCCCCGACATGGTACAGTAAATTAAGGCTCCTATCTGCCTCTTCAGTTGTGCCCTTGACACAGTTATTGGCATGATAAATGTTCAACAGTCAATGAAAGGTACTTACTGCTTTCCACTTCAGCACTGTTAGCCTGGCTTATCCCCTTTTATAATAAGTCCCTTTAACTAGTGTACGGTTCTGTTCCCCTTTGAAATGCGTGTAATACTTCATACAGAGGAGATGAACAAATGCTTAAATGCTTTCTTAAAGAGTTATAGGACTTGTTGAGGGTAAATTAAAAGCAGTTAAGAATTTTCAAACCTAGGGAAAAGGGCCTCTAAAACTAAGGACTTTGCTATAATAGCCGCTTTGTCCAAATTACTAGATTCTAAGCTTAGCTAACACAGCAGGACCACCTGAATAGCGCTCCAGAATATTCTGCAACTTTAATTTGGTCTGCCTAAGGTGGGACCCAGGACTCTGCATTGCCTGAATGGATGTGGCTATCCCAGCTGCAGAGCACAGAACTACCTCTGGGCTGAACTTGTTTCAAGCTGCTGGCCCATGTTAATTCCAACTTCTAATTAACCTAGCTCAATAAAACATGACATTTTTACTAATGTCAATTATTATGGATTCCTGAACATTATTACCTTTCTTGTATGTTCCAATACCAGACTTAGCTCACTTACCTACTGTCTGATTTTTTTTCCAGTGCTCTTAGTGATGGCAGCAGTAGGTGGCTACTTGATGTGGCGGAATTGGCAACACAAGAATATGAAAAGCATGAACTTTGACAATCCTGTATACTTGAAAACCACTGAAGAGGACCTCTCCATAGACATTGGTAGACACAGTGCTTCTGTTGGACACACGTACCCAGCAGTAAGTCAGCTTTGGGTCTTTATACACCATGGCTTGAAGTCAGACGTTTCAGAAAGGAGACCTGGGCTAGAGAGAGCCATTAGGATGATGGAGTCACCAAACGCCTCATCTGCTACCTGGATATTAGGCAGTGTAGCCTGTTAGAACATAAGTCAGTCAGTTGATCAGCATCTAACCGTTATCCAATAGCAAGTGGGACGACTTAAGGTCACCACTATATGAAGATATTTTTGCTTATTGAAATAACATGTAAATATTAGCATGAACCAAATAGCTCTTTATCTATTCAATCCATTGCCTACTGGATATCTGAAAGTAAATTAGCATATCATATATAGGGAAGTTGGCTTAAAGTCGATGGTGTATTGAGTAAGATTCACATAGCCAAAATTACTATATGCTGTGCTTTAAATAGTATCACATCACACTTACCATAGCTAGCTTTTCTTCCAGCGGTAGTCATCACTTGTTCTTCAGATGAAACCCAAGTGTAGTGTTTGGCCTTCACATAGGGAACAGGCTGAAGAAAACAAGTATTCACCACTCCCCTCTCAAGCTCTGGTGAAACACGGAACAGTGGTCAGTTATTGACATGCATATAGCTTTTCACATTTTTCTCCAACACTTACAGGCAGAAATCAGTCACACTGTCCGAACTCACTGCCAAGCAGGTACAGTTGAATTCAGGTTAAATGCATGAGTGTTACAACTTGTTAATCTTTTGTATCTGACTTTTCTTCTGAGCACTCTGTGTCTGAATGACCGACTCAAAAGCAAGGTCCATTTTAAAGACTAGAGATGCCATGAGTGAGCAATCACCAAGCTTATTCCATACTTCTTCTTTTCCGCAGATATCAGTTGTAAGCACAGATGATGATCTAGCTTGACTTCTGAGACAAGTCTTGACCTTTGAGGTCTAAACCTGTAATAACCCCGTCGGAATGGTAACAGAGTCAGCAGCTGAAGTCTCTTTCTTCCCCTCGTCTGGAAGAACATCAAGATACCTTTGCGTGGATCAAGCTTGTGTACTTGACCATTTTTACATTACTTTTGTAAATATTGTCCACATTCTACTTCAGCTTTGGATGTGGTTACCAAGTATCCGTAACCCTTGAATTTCTAGACAGTATTGCCACCTCTGGCCAAATATGCACTTTCCCTAGAAAGCCATATTCCAGCAATGAAACTTGTGCTGTAGTGTATACCACCTGTACATACGTTGTATAGGCCCTCTGTAAATATCCCAGAGAACAATCACTATTCTTAAGCACTTTGAAAATATTTCTATGTAAATTATTGTAAACTTTTTCAATGGTTGGGACAATGGCAATAGGATAAAACGGGTTACTAAGATGAAATTGCCAAAAAAAATTTGTAAACTAATTTTGTACGTATGAATGAAATCTTTGACCTCAGTGGAGGTTTGCAAAGACTGAGTGTTCAAACTACTGTACATTTTTTTTCAAGTACTCAAAAATTAAACCAAGCAGCTTAACCATGGTTTGTGCCTGTTCCTCTAGGATAAACTCCTAGCCTGAGTAGTATCAAGGGTTCTAACTAAATATGTGAGGTATAGTTCTTGATGTTGTATAACTAACTAAGCCTGTAACTGGGCTAGTTTCTCTTACACCGAAGTACTAGCTGAAAAATGAAGTGCTATTTAACATTTGCTCCAGAAATATTTCTTACTGTGTAAAAGAAGCTGGCTTAGTCTGTACCTAGAATTCTCTTGCTTAGAGGAGTTTCTTTTCTCATTAGCTTGTTTCCTAATCAAAAAACATGTACCAAGATTTCTATGAATTCTGCTTCTTATAGTTAAGTCTCTGTTTTCCATGTTAGTGGAGGAATAAAATTTTCTTTTTAATCAGATCTTAGTGTTAATGAAGTTATCGTATGTATTGTATATGAATCGGTAATTTTCCAAAGTTAGATCAAGGACAAGTGCCTTCTAAGGCATGGATAAGGGCTTTCTTCTTATAAAAGTCTAGACTATCTTACTGTGAAGATGGCCAAGGAGGATAGCAAGCAATGCCATTCTTGAACAATCTAAGGCAGGGTTCTCAGTGTGGTAGTGGGAACAGAAGCACCTGCATCACCTGAGAATGTGTTAGAAATGCAAGTTCTCTGCCCCATCCCAGATCTACTGAATCAGAAACTCTGGGGGTAGGGCTGAAACCTGCTTTCATAAGCCCTTCAGGCGATACTGATGTAAACTAAAGCTTAAAATTTCTGTTTTAATGTGACTTCATGAAGACTATACTTGTAATATCACTTAAATTATTATCCTGGCTGGCATAGGGCAGATTCTTACTATGGACAATTTCTGGAACTTACAGTATGAAGAGCAGATGAGGAGTTTGAATTTTCCTTTAGGTTGGCCATGACTTTCTCTGAAGTCTCACGAAGGCTGGAAGCGAGGGAAGACACAAGACTTGAAGCACCGGATGGATGCTGTGCATCCCGAGCGCAGTGTGGAGTAGACTGTGGAAGGTACAGCAATTCCTCTGGATCGCGTGACTGACCCACACAGTAGCAACAGGAGGAAGAGAAGATGCATCAGTGGATGACTCATATTTCATCTGCTTATGTAATATAAGGCAGTTAACATCTTGCTTGTGGCTTAAGCAAGGAAATCAATATTACTAGATGGGGGAAGTTGATTCTGTCGCCTGAAGGCATGCCCCCTTGTGATTTTGGTCCATTGAATGAAAAAGTAGAGATAGCCTTGGACCTTTTTTTCATGGGAGGTATGGAGGTCAAGCATGTAGAAGGAAAAGCACGCAGTCGTGAATATAGAGCTGTCTGCTCTCCACCTTGTTCTTACCTTACATTTAGTCATCACACGGAACAGGATGTGGCCTGCTGACAGGGAGTAGCTCAAGTGCCTATTTGGTAAGTAGGTTAGTATTCATCATGAACTCTGAAAGCCATTCCAGAGTCTGGCTGCTGCTCTGACCCTGTTATGGTACAAAAAACACAGATTTTTTTTTTTACCTGGAGTAATACCAAATTCCCTTTTAGAAGCTTAAAGTTTGATACTAGTGCTTTCCCCATTATAAGGATTATACGGTATTAATTAATCATAAGGCCCAAAGTTTGTTTTGGCAAATAAAGCATTATTCTTCTTCATTATCACCATCATCTTTTGAATTCCTGTCCCCGGTATGATCTTTCAGGTTCTGGGTACAAATTTCCAACCCTCAAAGAGTCTAAAACATCTCATTTTTTTACCTGGTCCTCCCCAGTAAGAAGCCAAGGTACAACTCATTGTACCTAACTGAAGAGGTATAAACTCATTTAAAGAAACAAAGTAACTCGGTATTTCTATTGAGATAAGAATAGTTATATTGCAAGGCCTAGCACAGTGGCTCACACCTATAATCTCAGCACTTTCAGAGGCCAAGGCAGGAGTTTGAGACCAGTCTGGGAAACATGGTGAGACCCTAAAAAAAATTTAAAAAGTAAAAAATTAATATAGGTATATGACTAAACTGCTAGTCAATACGGCTTGTAATAATAGTGCATGAATGACGAGAGCCCTAGACTTTATCACCCAAACAAGAACTTTAATTCTATGTGAAATGTGTTGGGCTAAGTCTGCTGTGTTTCGGGAGTTTACTGTAGAAGATAATTAGGAGGTAAAACATGAAGGTTTGCACACACTAAAGGAGAATATTTGGAGTTGGATGAGCCTATCACACAAAGTGACTGAAAGTGGACCCTCCAGAAATTTTAGGAATTGCCACAAGGATTGATAGATGATGAATAAACAGATTTGTGGCCTCCAGTAAAGAAATCCAACCAAGTTCCACTGTCCAAATTTTTAAATGCCCTTTGCAAGCTACGTATTTGGCAAAAATAGTCCTTGTTGTTCAGCTGGCTCCCTTAAAACATTCTAATAGGTGTTTTGAAGCCTTGGTATCTCTTCCTCTTTAGTTCTTGATGAATACAAGCCCAAAAATAATAATAACTGAGGCTTCAACTTTGGCATTTGCTTCTGTTCCTTCTATCTGTGGAAGTCAAATAGCTCTTTTCAAAAATGAGAAGCCAACCTTTAAATAACAAACTATAGGGTATTAAAAGACTAACTCTTCAGAACGCTGTAGAAATGGGAGACCTACTTCAAGTCTACCTTTTAGCAATCTTCAGTGCAAACCTAAAGATTCTAGGGGTCACTTAACTCTCATATTCTGTAACCTAATTCAAATAACTTCCTACAATTCTTACTAGTGAAATCTTACCCTAGTAAAACAGTTATTATAAATCCAAATGAAAACTATAGTTTTGGCTTTCGATGGTGGCAAAAACTTGCAAAAAACAGATATGCTTTTGCTGATTTAAGTTCAAGTACAATGACTACAGCCTGCTAATCTTGATCCCCAAATCTGAGCCTTTCCATTTCATAATTGTTTTATCCTGAATGTACTTGTGACATAGACATTTCTCAAAAGGGTCTGATACATCCAACTCTTAACAAGTAGGAGTAGCAACTAGCAAAAAGTAGAAAGAAGCTTCCCTCATTGTGGGTAATGAGGAAGTACCTAAAAACCACATATATATAATCCCCTGTGGTATTATATATTCTGCAAGCCCCGTAGGTGGGGAGGCGGTGGCAATAGTTGCATCAGCACTAACTGCTGCTGCTGCATGTTCTGTTGGTGGCTGCCGGCCGAGTGTGCACACTGAGCCCCGGCCGAGGTGCACTGCCTGCTGTGGTCTGTTAAGCATCTCACCAGAGGGGGAGGGCACATCGAGCGATTCCACTTTCTTAAATAAAAGATTTTTAGGTATTTTTGATATTATACATTCTTTAACACGAGAAGGGGCTTGTAATGACTTCTCTTCCAGAATCGTACTATTTTAAAACTACATGTAAATATCCTGACAAGTATAATTTTTGGAGGGGTAAACTAAAAATTTCACATCCATGCTTCAGCCATATCATGGACCTAAAGTATGAGAGTTCAGGAATACATATAAGTAGAAAACTCTTCAAAGGTACTTATTTCCAAACAGGGAGGGAATAAATCTGAAAATGGAACACTGGCGTTTTTCAAACTTATGTCTCTCAAATCCAGCCTGGAAGATTTGCAGCTCAAAACAGTTGCATGTGAAGGATATGAGCCATCTTTGCATATCCCATTCATATCTCCCTTCACACACGAAAAGCTGAATGCATTTTACCAGTGAAGCTCTAGATATGAAACTTTGGGGTCCAGGGATAAATAAGCTACTAATAAATAGTAACAATGATGTTCCGTCTCTCTATCATGTCTCCTGAGTCTCTTACACATTTTTGAGCCTGGCTCGTCTGAGAAACAGGAACAAAGTAGGACCGTGAATTACCCAGTATTCTCCTGTAAATCTCCTTCCATCCATGAACACTGAGGCAGGAGTAAGACCAGCTGTGGGTGGGGAGTTTGTGCTCTGCAGGTTACCGCATAGCATATCAAAAATGGCTTTTTTCTTCACTGTGCTTAAGGAAAAAGTCAGATCGGTGGCAAGGTAGTTCTGTTTAGAAGCAGCAGGCAATGTAGTTAACAGCACAGAGTTCTATGTCAGCCTTGTGTGTGGAACCTTGGGAAGTTACTAATTCCCTGTGTAAAGTAGAGATGATGGGGACTGTCTCACTGTGACACGGTAAGAGTTAAGTGAGATGCACACAAAAAGCTCAGAACACTGTCTGGCATCTAATATGTTCAGGGCAGATGTCACTACTGAATATCACATCAATGCTAGGTCTCCACTTACTGTCACACACAGGAACTGGTAAGTGACTTTACCAATGAAAGTCACAGGTACCTTTACTTACAATGTAACATGCATTAGATACTGACCCTGGTGTTCTCCACTACACCTGTCTAAAGAGATCTAAGTCTGAAATTTAGGGAGCGATAGCACCTTGCATAGTTAAGAAAGCTTAAAAGATGGCATGGTTTTAAACCCTAGAAACATAGCTGGGATATTTCCACCTCTGTTCTTTTAACTACCTCCTAGGACATGGAATCAAATATTTGGGAGCCTGCATAGTCTTCAGATGCCTGCCAAAGCACTTAAAATCTCCTTTAAATTCTTACCACATGCTTACATTTGTACTAAGTAAGCGCTCCCAAGTCTTATTTGCTCTTCACAGCAACCCTAATAGATACCTCCATTTTACATATGTAAAACCTGAGGCTATAAATAATATGTGATTCCAAATTCTGCGTGCTTACTGCCATCTTCTCTTAGAAGGGGATGTAGTACGATACAAAGATTGAGTTGGATGTTGCATTGCATGTTTGCTGAGTCCCCTTTGCTGTGGATGTTAGGATCCTTCAGCAGTTTCTCAGATGCCAGTGATGGCTGGCATCCAATATGGTGGCGCAGTGGAAGTCTATCACTAGCACTTATATATCAGGTCAGCACGATCAACTCAATTATGTGTTATGCCTTCAAGATGCTCGACATTCCAGAATTATTTTCTTTGGCCATCCAAGTGAAGTAGAAGTAAATTATTG